CCAAGTAAACCTTGATTGCTACATCAACTATAGAAGCCGAGTTCGTTTCCTATTTTGAGCCTTTTTCCATGGTGTATAGATCAAGAATTTTGTATCTGGGCTTAGAGTTATGGATTTTATTTCTAGGCCATTGAGAATTTACTCGAACAATTCGACTGTTGTCTTTATAACTAAGAACAACAAAAATGGTGATCGAAGTAAACATATCGACATTAAGTATTTTATTCATAAGAAAACGTATTAAAGAAAAGAAAGTGATAATTGAACACGTAAACACTGAATTAATGATCGCTGATCATTTGACTAGAGGCATGCCATCATTGAAATTCAAGGATCGTGTAGAGAAAATGGAACTTAGTTCCACTATGTAATGGTGTATACAATTTTGTATGAAACTCTTATTTGTTGTGATATTTTCTCATATTCATGTGCACCTAAATTTATTTGAGAAAATATATTTATATAGGACCAAATATAAGACACAAGGTCTTTTCATTAAGTAATGTTACAACATAAAGAATATTTTTTGAGAAACTAAATATATTGTAATACATGAAAGATAATACTCGTTATTTATTTCTTAAGAAGAGCAATCAATGGGATTAAGTTGAAACATTAGGTTGAATGTATGGATCAAATGGGAGAATGTAAGATCTGTTTATTCCCGTTTCAGTTTCTTCACGGACAATTGATGGTCCAACATTCACTCTTCGATTTCAATTTTTATAAAACTTCAATTCAATGTTCATGGAGCCATTGATTGGAAGGTAATTAAAGCCTCAGCTTGATGGGAGCCTGGCTATAAAAAAGGGTTTGGTCCCTAAGCTCAAACACCACCGAAATACAATATAAACCATCTATTTCAAAATGTTAAGAGCTTAGAAATGTCATTACCTGGAACAAAAGGAGAGCTTCTGAAACAACATCAATGACGTGAGGTATGAACTCGATTCACAAGTTTTCATTTTTTTGATCCAATTTGTTTCCGCAGAATTGTTTTGGATCCATTTTCTGTCTAACATGATGCCCATTAAAAAAGAGTTTTTGGGGGAAAGTGAGTTTTGTGATGGTGATTTTTGAAAAATGTGATTAGAAAGTTGGGATTTTTTTTCATTTACGTGCAAAATATTTTATTGTGAAAGTGTGTAATTAAAAATGAGTTTTAGAAAAAGAAAAAAAGAGTTTTTGATGAATGATGGACAAATAGGGACATGTAGTCTCGAAAATCTACGGAACTACTTAATGCTATTTGTGTAAATTGTCTAAAAGCTACGTCCTCATTTTGTATAGTGGCCCATAATACACAACCCCCTTTTTTTTTGCAAACCCTAATCTCGTTATAAATAACAGCGGCTTTCTAAAGCTAGGGTTTCCAGACGGCATTTTGCGGATCTGTGTTTCGACTTAATCGTTGCTCTCTACCGTAACAATGGTAATTTTAGCCTTCTTTTGCTTTCCTCCACCGCTGGATTACGTATTTCCTATTTCTGTTTGTTTATTTTGATATCGGGTTCGATTTGTTGATTTGTCACAAAGATATGAAATATGATTAAATGGGCTACGTAGTAATAGAGTGTTCGTGCTATTACGTGTTATGCATGTTGCAATACGAGAGAAGTTTGAAGTAAAAAAATTCAGTGGAGTGGAATTACTTTTCGCTGTGTTGCCGGTGTGAATGGAAGTGGCTCATTTTGCATAATTTGTAGCACGGAAAAACTTTGAGATAAAAAAAGTAACTTTCTTGCGAAAGATGTGAACCAAAAGAACAAATCGATTTTTTTCCCCCTAAATTTTTGAATGAATATTCGCCAACTTTAATATCTTGCTACCGAGCTTCTTCTTTTTATGCTATTTTGTTGATAATGGACCCTTCACAGACAGCATGTTTGTACTGTGGAACTTATATACAACCCCCTCACATTCATAGTCTGTTTGTACTATGGAATTTAGATTCAGTCCTGCTTGTTTATCCTATGGGAGTTCAATTGTTGTCCATGTGAATATGTGGACGGTCAATTATTGATGAATTTAGAACAAATTAGCAAGTTCATATTTGTCAGCCAAGGTGGCATTTTCTTGTGCTGTCTGGTGCTGTGTTTTAAGGTTACTTCTTCAAACCACAATCATTTGTTCTTGACCTAATCACTAGAATTCTTGTCAACCTACAAAAGATATTTCCAGATTGCCTTGTGGTTTTTTCCTCAAATTACTAATGTCCATGTTTTAAACATCCCATAACTTAGCCTCCAGTCACGTCAACCATGTTTTTCCAGTATGTTTTTAGATGGCAGTTCTGAAAATGTCTTAAAGATTTTAGGTAACTTTGAACGCTTTTTTTTTCTAAGTTAATAGATTATTTACCCCCAATTGCGAAGAGATACACTCCCAATGTTTTATAGTTATTTGTTAATCATTTTTCTGCATTTTGCTTGGGTTTTTCCACTTTCTTTGCAGTTTGAAGCACAAAGTTTATTGTTTTACAGGCAATTCAGTATCTTTGCTGATCATTAGGTTTTTATCTGACATGTTGTTTCATGTTTTTGGCATCTTTAGTTGTTAATTCTGAACTGTTTTTGCAGGTGAACGTTCCAAAGACAAAGAAGACCTACTGCAAATCCAAGGAGTGTAGAAAGCACACCTTGCATAAGGTTACACAGTACAAGAAGGGCAAAGACAGCCTAGCTGCTCAGGGGAAGCGGCGTTATGATCGCAAGCAGTCAGGTTATGGTGGACAGACCAAGCCTGTCTTCCACAAGAAGGTAAATACTGATTGCATGCTAATAATCTTGATTACACCCGAAATTATTTCAACGAGGAGACTAAAAATACCATCACCAACACAATTTAAATAAAGAAGAGATTATAACAACCTAATAAATAGATTTTTAAAACTGATTCATGTCTCTTTGTTGTTATTTTGCTAGTAGAGATTCAGTCCAAATTTTTAGTAAACTAATGTTTTATTCTTGTCTTTGCGCCACAGGCAAAAACAACAAAGAAGATTGTGCTAAGGTTGCAATGCCAGGGCTGCAAGCATGTATCCCAGCATCCAATTAAGGTTGGTTTTTTAGATTTACATCTTGTATTATCGTCTATCGGCATGGAATACTTAACAATTGTATTGTCATCATTGGTCTTGCAGAGGTGCAAGCACTTTGAGATTGGTGGAGACAAGAAAGGAAAGGGCACCTCTCTTTTCTAAGCGTGCTTTCAAGGAAACTGAAATGTCTTTTATTTGTTTTGTTATGTTAAGTTTACATCTAGCAGACCAGGGTTACTAAAATATTAGCTGAATTATTTGACAGCATGTTGTTTCATCGTTGAATTTGATGTTGAAATTTACTATTCTTATGCGTTTGGTTACTTGGTCTCCAGGAAACTAGCCGTAATTTGATCCAAATGGTCGAAATATGACAATTTTGGCAGTAAAATTGCATAAAGTTCGCCTAATCTTTTTCAAATCCATGCAACTGGAAGACTTAAAAGTGCTCTCTAGGTTAGTTTACTTTTCTTGGCATTAGGGGCTTCATATTACGAAGTGGTTTGTAATTGGAATTTGTGGAAGGTTTAGTTTTCATGGTTACATCTTAAGCATGAATTAGTTGTAGTTCTAACGGACAATCAAGTTTTGGGGTCAGTTCAGGTTTTTTATTACTCGGAATTATTCATTACACTTCCGGTATTTTGTCAGTGGGATCATTATTTTCATGTAATTATTGGAATTGAACTCAAACCTGTATCCGGTCATAACATTGTTTAAAAAATAATTGCGAGCCTACAATGCAAATTTTCTTCCCTCAAGCTGAAATGAAAGAAATAAAGGTCGGTTTGATTGCAATGGTGGATAATGGGTGGAAAGAAAATGAATTCTAAAGAAAATAATTGTCTGGATATTGTTTTGCAGGGAATTGTTAATTAAGTGTGTTTGTTTGGTATAATTTTTCATTCGAAAAATGTTTAAATTGTNTGGTATAATTTTTCATTCGAAAAATGTTTAAATTGTATTCGTTTGGCTTTGTTTTACATAGAAATTGTCTATTAAAGTGATTTTTTTCCACGAAAAATTTGTTTCCATTGCCAAGAGTGAAAAAAAAATGAATTTTTTTTTCTAAAAAATTATTATTTTTTTGTTTGACTTTTTTTTAAATGGAAATTGTCTATTAAAGTGATTTTTTTTTATAATTGGTTATGAAATTTGTTTCCATTATTTAAAAAAAAAAAGAACCTGGAATTACATTTTCCTCCCACAATTCAAGGAAAAAGGGCAGGTGGGGTGGGGAAAATATTTTGCTTACAAATTATTACATATCAAACAACCTAATAGCAAGAAAATGGAATTTTTTTTCCAACTTCTATGGAAAAAATGGCTTATCAAACAGGACCTAAAAAATTGTCATCAATTACAGATTTCATTTTTTTCCTTAATTCACAGTAAATGTCATATGGTATTAATATCAAGCGTGATAGTATCTAATTTCAATTGTGACTTACATGTGATGCCTCGAGAAGGATTTGTCGGACGAGGAATGTGTATTGTGTTGATAAGAAAGGACTACAAATGAGAGTGATATAATCAGCTATTCCAATGAATGGATCTGGTCAGTTCAAGGAAATAAATGGAGTATGCATCAGAGGGTTTGTGCATGTTCATGAATACATTTTTGACACTGGTAAGAAATGGAGTATGGTGGTAGGATAGTGCAAGGAAATAAGTGGAACAAGTCGAGACTAAAGTTTTAATTTTTATTTTTTTCGAACGTAAATCTTAAAATCAAGGCCTAATTTATTCAACTAATATATGCAAAATAAATAAATAAATCTGGAAAGTAAGATACTCTTGTTCAAATTGCACATCTCCAGACACTGCTGCAATCTCATCTTTGGTTATTCCACTCCCCAACTAACCAGATTTTAATCAATAAGAAAAAGTAAAGAAAAAAAAACATGCCTTCTACCATCTATACAAATGTTAAAATTCGAAAAAAGAACTCTGTTAAGTGCTAAGCGTGTTTGAACTTTGAAATCATTGATGCGATTTTGTCAAGTAGTTTGTGTGCATCTTCTTCTCCAGATGACAATGGGTTAGTCCATTCTTGAAACTGGTGAAGGCTGCCTGCGAAGTCTGTAAAAAGACCATCAACCCCGACTTTGTTTATCCAGTAATCATATTCTTTATATGGATCTACGCTGAAGTTGAGGTGTAAGAACTGGTTCTCATTCCGGAAAGTGTATGGATGCACCTGAAATGACACACCGGGACAATTGAAGATCCTAGACCATTCATTCAGGATGAAATAAAAGAATATAAAAGCTCGTAGATTTGGGAAAAAACATGACAAGTTTCCCTATCTGTAAATTTTAAAAGCTCAAAATCATAGAGCATAAAATGTTTATATAATGCATTTTTAACTGACGAGATATCACTATCAAACCACTTTACATTTATTCTGCCTTACATACTCTAAAAATCTTCTGTGCGAGAGTAAAACAATCACTCCTAGAGTTAACATGATCCTCTATGCTAATTCCACTATGATCGCTGCTCCTACAATTTTGATCCGACCTCAAACTTGTGGGTTATCCCTCCTAGTCTCATCTATGAAGGCTATGTGATCAGTAAATAACATGCTTGCATTGCATTGATAGTTTCCTCAAGCACAAATATTCAATATTTACATTCAATACTTGAAGTAGAGTCCCTGACACCCCATTGGGGCTAGGTGGAGACCTAAAAATCCAGGGCTTTGATGGTGCTCCAGTTAGATCTTACTCATCTCTTCTTCCTACCTATCCTCGTTTATCTAAAAAATATGGTAAGAATTTCTTTTCAGACTAGCCCCTTATCGAATAATGCAAATGATGCTTCTTCTCATGCCATCACAAAATTTCAAGAAATTGTAATTAGGGGCTTAAGTCAATAAGATATGCAAAGTGGTGCAAAGAGCAAAAGTCAGCTATTTATGTTATGTGAAGGTATTGACTTCTTAGTGAAACTCCCACATTTTAAAGTCTCGCAATATAAAGGACGAGAAGATTCAGTTTGTCACTTGGTGTTCAAACAGCAGCACATCCTCATGCCAATAGTTCCAAACTACAATGATATTTAGATGCTTAATTAACCAAAACCGTACAATATCTCCAGAAACGAAGCTTCAGACAGCCCAGTACCTAGAGTAATCTCTATCGAAAAGATAGTTTAGCAACGAAGCATACCTGAAGGTTATGAACATGTGCTCTTGCCACAAGATCTGAAGGCGTTTCTAAATAATTTCCCAATACAGGAACCAAGTTATCTTTCCAAGGTCCAATCCCCACAACATATTCCTTGATGAAGTCAAGATATTTGTCTGATGTTATCTCCTGATACGACTGACACATAAATATTCACATAAAGCTTAGTATCAGAGCATATAAATTTTACAAATGATCAAAAACTTGAACACTAAGGTTATACCAAATTTAAATATTTTCAGTGACGTGCATAGAATAATTCGACATCAGAACCAGCTGATCACTGTAAAATTAGTCTCATTAACAAAAAAAACTTGAAACCAAAGTTCATCTAGGTTATAACGTCTTAATGAAACTAAAATTAAGAAGTGGTTTTACATGCAATGACAACAGAAAGTAAAAAACTTAGTGAGGCGAAATCAGATTGTTCCAGTTAATAACAAGAAGTCCATGAAAAAAAAGGGAAATTAATAAAGCAAAATAAAAAATGAAACACATTAATTTTCACAACCAACCCAAAATTAAACCAAGCTTTTAGTAATCAACTGATTTAATAAAAAAAGAAGCTCTTATTTCAATCACTAGTTATTGACAATCTCACATACTTGTCCATTTTCAAAATCTGATATGCTAAACTTAACATTAGAAATTCTCTCAGTTCCATATTAGTTACTATTTAGAGTTTTTCCTTTTCTGTAACAATTTGTATATTATGATTCTAAAGCTGATCGGGGCATATCGTTGACTAATATTTATGATTTTATTTTGGGCTGATAGCATTTTGACAAATTTTCATGGAGATTTGTCACAAGGAAAAAAAATGAGAAACCTGATTTGTGTCCTGGGTTGGGATATTAACATCGTCAATTAGGAAAACCTTGGGTATGTTTGTTTGGTTTGATATGTAGATAAGAGATGTAGGGGCGAACGACTGAATAAAAGCAGGCTGTTTCAACCACTCCTTCGACATATAAGAACCTCTGTATCCATATTTCTTGAGTGTCTCCACAAACTTGTCCTCATATTTCTTACCGCCTGACCATTTTACCTGCAGAAAAACCAATATGAATGGACATCAAGTAGCAAATATTTTATACGAAAATTAGTCACTCGTCCAAATATCATTTTGGGTGGAAAATAGTTCTTCAGAGCAGGCTTAAGAAAAATAGGAAAAGTATCTTACGCGTTGATTGATGAATACTGGATTTTTAATCTCTGGATATATTCCAACAACTCTCGGGGCATCCAATGCAATTGAAATGAACTCTTCAAAAGTAATAATAGAATACATTCCTGTTCAAAATGATTAAAATAAATTTACATGTATAATCTTTCATATTTTTTAAGCAAACACAAAGGAACTACAATTACAGTTACATGTCTAGTGCATATTGACTTGAGAAATGCAAGAAGAGAAAAATCATCTTTTTCAAACTCAATCTATGGAGAGGTCAGGTTGTAATTTGATTTCAAGTCTGCAAGCAAGTTTGCAGAAACTATTACAAACCAAGCTCACCCCAGTTGGATGTAATGTAGAAATTAATGGGTGAAACATGAGATAATTGTTGAAAAATTCCAATGTGTGGGGGCCACACATGTATATATATTAAAATGTGTAATGCTATCTTAAAAGTTTAGTCAATAAAGATCTTTATTAAAGCCAATTTTGGACTAGCGGGTATTAAATGTCATGTAAATAAAGTGTAGAGACCATAAAGTTATTTTAAATTGATGAGGGGCCAATTTAAAATAAGTGAAAGATAATAACTGCTCAATACAGTTATTATATCATGGGGTCATGGTTCCCAATTGAACATGATTTTCAATCTCTCTGCATCCCCATTAACATATAAGAATTCTAGAGGAATTGTGTATCAATTGGAAGATCATAACCTATATAATTCAAGCAATCAGATACATAGATCAATGTATGATTCCGCTTTTAATGTTCCCATTCACTTCAACATAGATTATATATATATATATATGCATGTTAAAAGGGTTTGATAAAGTTTTGGATTGATAATCCATTTTCTAATCCATCACTCTCGTATGGAGAGCTCCCCAACAACATCCAAACTTATCCACCCCAAACCATCCGACCCACTTCCTACTAGCGACGGGCAGAAGGCCCCGGCCGGTCACCCACCACATGCCGGCCTCACGCCACAAAATCATGGTCTATTCGGCCATGGAAAACACTTGCAAGCGGCTGCCCTAGGTGGAAACCCTAGCGCTGCCGCTCGAAATTGTCCAGCTAAAGGAGGCGTCTCCATCTGGGAAGGTTTCGAGTATTCAGGAGCGTCGATGAAGGGAGGAGGCGAGGGTTTCACAGTGGAGCAGGGAACCCAACCTCCGATTCACCAAGCTCCGGCCAACCATAGGTTACACACGCCTGACAGGGCAGCTGTGCAGGTCATTCCGACCCCAACGAACATGACGCAGCTTCTCGGCAGCGCTCCGGCGGCGAGTGTGACCCACGCGCCGGTGACTGGGATACGGCTTGTTCCCCGCAACGTGCCCAAGCCATTTCAGCAGTGTTCGGACAATTTTGGAACAAAGGAATTCAATTACCGGATTAGAGTGGAGGCGAAGGTATTTATTGCGTATGTGAATAAATTCGGCATTATTAGGTTGACAGAATGGGGACCGAAGGGAACAAATTCAATCTTCATGGGAAGGTTCGGTGTAATATCCAGAAATTTCGTTATAAGTCGTTATTATTAGGAATTAGGACCTTA